AAATATTTCTTTCATAACATGTCATAAATAAAGGCAACAGTAGTATACCGCTGTTCAAAAGTCATAAATCGATCGAGAGAAAACAAATCCGGGTTACAAACTATAACCGAGGGAAACACATCAACTATAAGAGGAAAACAATTTAACAACAGAAACACTTAAGTGCAACAAAAACAAACGCCAACATACATAGAAACAAACTATTTGATAACAACTTATATTCCTGATTTGGTACAGGACATTTTAAGAAAAAATGATGGGTTGAACCTGGTTTTATGGCTAGCCAAACCTCCCTCTTATATGGCAATGTTAAAAAATATCGCTAAAATGACAACACTATATGACAGCACAAACAAACGCAAGAACACTCAGCACAGAGAAACGCACAAATAAATAATATAATAGTCGTTACAACATGTAAACCGCAGAATAACAACGAACATCTTCCATTAACGACGGCACAGGACATCACAAACAGTGACGTATTTTTGTAACGATTATATAATCTTGAAATCCATACAATTAATTTCACAATACTAGTCCAAACAATTATCATGATTATGACGGTATTGAAAGGCTATTTTAAATAAATGCTGTAACGACGTCATAATTATTTGGACTAACACAATACTTTAACCATGGAAAATGGAAATTAACTCGACTATACTGACAAATAAGACATATGTGAAATGTACCGAAAATACAGAATTCAAACCACAAGCGATAAGACATAACACAATATCCAACCGAAAACACAACATAAACATCATAAATAAATACATGAATGTTGGATGTATAAAATACCGAGACACGTCGTATAGCAATGCAAATCCACACTCGGCAAAACAGTCATATTCGGGAATAAGTCACGTTCGGTACTTAGCAGACAGACGACATAGATGTTAAACCACAATCTAAAACGTGGTAAAAATGTCATTAGTTAGTTTAGACACAGACACATCGTATAGATCAACCAATTCGTGATGGTGTCCATAAAATTTACGGAGTGTCATTTTTAATCTTTCCTCCTCATAACTCTGTTGGAGCAGTATCTTCGTAAGGAGCACACTCCTATATATGAAGTCCGTATAGTGTGAACATCCACGAGCATACGTATCAATTGAGATATGTAAACACCATACGACGGAGCAGATGGTATGTTACTGCTGAGAAATGGGAAATTGATAATTGGGAAGTTGTAATCATCCCGTTTGTCATAGATTTTAATGTGAATTCGTCTATCTTAGTCAATATTGAGGAAAAGATCAAGGTATGAAGCAGTAGTATCATTAATTTCAAGTTCACAAGGATATATGAGATGCAAGTACTGACTGAAATATGGGTTATTCAGTGATAGGACATCATCAATATTTCTGAAAGTAAAATTAAAGAATTTTGCAAGGTGCTTTTTCTTTTTGTCTTTTAGAAAGTTTTGAATGAATTCTGCTTCATACGAGTACAAAAACAAGTCGGTCAGAAGGGGTGCACAATTAGTACCCATTGGAATACCGACTGTCTGTTGAAATATCAATCCTGCAAACTCAACAAATATATTGTCGATTAAAAAGTCCAGCATTTTGATAATATCATCTTCAGTGTAATTTCTGATAGAATCAGCGTGGTTCTCCACAAAATAAAAATTATTATAAACCAAAACAAGAAATTTATATCTACGATTCCCATTTTTATAGAAAAAGCTCTGTTTTTAATGAGATGGTGAAGTCGATCTTTCAATTGAGCATAGGGAATAGTAGTGTAAAGCGTAGAAAAATCAAAGGTTACTTTTCTGTTGATACACACAAATTAAAATAATGCAACGCCATACTTTGAATAGCCGTTTCTCAGTATGATGCCATCAAATTGATGTACGCTTTTCAATTGTTATTCACAGTCTAACTATACAAATCCTTGAGAAGACCAATTAAACAAATCTGAAAATTAAATCTACGTGGTTGTGTGATGGCCACATTTTAAAACAAATGCTCACATCTTCAGAAGGAAGATTCAAAGGACACCGATTGACTTTCAACTTTATTCTGTATTCAGCGGCAATACGGTTATATTTTCGACATGTTCGCTTCATTTTTTAGCCTTGATCTGTTGTGTTGTAAAGGGTGGCGATTTTGGGCATATTAATATAGCGAACCATCTCTACAAATTTGCCGAATCAATGAAATTATTGGATATTATTCCTTCAATGGTCAATCAGTTCGCGTTTACGACCAAATAACTTGCGAATAGATTACCTCAATCATGGGACAACAAACCCCTGTTTGATTCTTCAGTTTGGTCCTGTCCAAAAAGACTCTGTAAACACTTGTAAATCAGGGATAAAATTCATACCCCTAATTTTTTTAAAAAAATTTTTGAATGATCCAAATAATTATTTTAGCCAGTTTAGACGGCGAACCCTTCAATAAGAGTTTAAAAAAAATCTCAAAAGCGAGCTGCAACTTGTTTCGGATAGATTATTTGTTATTTAATCATATATCGTGGTGCTGTTTTTCAGAAATATACACCAAAGGCAAAAACTTGTCAAGCAAGCACAAAAAGCATTGTATTGTATTTATGAATTGAGTCGTAATGAGGAAATACCTATAAAGCATGCATGTTATTTTTTAAAACCAGTTCGCTGTGTAAAATATGACTTGTGACACAAATTTTGTGCGACCATTTTATACGAAAATGGCACAATGACGTTCACACCATATTGCGTGGGTCAGTTTAATTCTTAAAAAAAAAGAATTTGACATATAATACAATATATGTCTTAAAAGAATACACGAGTCATTTGAAATTTGGATTTAATACCAAATTTAGAACTGCAAATGGACGATTACCTATAGAAACGGTAGATGGTATAATGTACTAAAATTATTGAACGAGTGTAACTTATGCAAAGAACATATTAGGGATGGGTATCATGTTTTATTTATTTGTAAAGTGCAGATATAGTAGAACTAAGTAACAAATGTTTGCCACATTATTATAGAAAAAGATCTTTTCTCAAGTAATGCTGAACTTTATAAGAAGTTGTTAATATTTATTAGAAAACTAGCTTCTCTTCTTTCGATAATTGTCACCTGATAATCAAATTTATAGTGTCATATTTATTTATAATTACAATGTAATTACATGCTCGTTTTGTCCTGTTTATTGTCATAATAATTAGGTTATTCCTAATGACCTCTTGTTGCACATTGTATGTGTGTCTGATTGATATCAAATTAATCTTGAAGACAAGAAATGGCAGAAACGTCTTAAGTAACGTACGAGTTGAGAAATATGAACTCTATACACAGGTGCTGCTGACATATTGATAAATAGAAAACGGAGAAGTTGATTCCAAATTGTTTCCAATCAAAGAAGGACCTCAACATTAACAAGCAACGTACCATGAACAGGAATATTTCCTCTTCTTGAAACTTTATACTTAAAATAACCCAAACTTATAGAAAATGGAACAACTTCTTTCAAAGAATTGAGTTGAAAATTGTCAATTTTTGTATGTTTTCATAGCCTTGTCATGCTTGTATAACTTCATAGTAAATCAGGTTAGGGCTATTCATCTTTTACAATATTTTCTGCATTTTTCACGAATATGTGCCATTTCAAGTATAAAATATTGAAAAATAGTTCTTTAACACTAGATAAGTATCCATCATTTGAGGTATAGTTACTCATTTAGGGAGCTATCCTCCATTTGACGGGTTGTCCCCAACCTGATGAAGTGTGGTGAAGATCAGATGTTCAGTGTCCACAAGTGTGTTACGGAGGGACGGACAGACCCGTTAGAATATTCCCTCTTCGACTATGCGAAAGGATGATAAATTTAGAAACGTAAAAAAGGTATCCAAAAATGAGTTAATCGATGCATGCAGGCGGCGATCTATTATGGAAGACTCGCACATCAAATGTTTATTATAATCATATAATAGTAGAGAAATAAAGAAGTAAATTGATTAAAGATTTTATTTACTTGTAATGACTTTTAAATAAAGACTTTTAAAGAATTATATGAGAGAGATAGCAAAAAATCAAGACAATTCCGCAAATAGCCAAATGCTCGATATCCGTTCCTTTTACAAATAGTGACTAGTCTAACATCGTTCGATCGAATATGCATCTGTTAGGTCTGAATAATTTTTTGAAACGACTCCGAAGAGTGACTGGGGAATAAAAGTATGGACACGCGTGGCTTTCTTCCAACCGACAGTAATACCCTTGGAGTTCGGTATTTTTGTTATTTACTTTTTGCCAAAGTGGGGCGTCCGTTTGGCTGTGTATGTGTACAATTACGCAGTCACGTCCGGTCAGAATTGAAAATTGACGATAAGGTAATAAAATTTGATCTTCTACACATATGTATAAAAGATATTGATTTGATATACAGCAGTAAATAAAAAATAGAATTCCATTATGTTGACAACAATGTGTGAGCAAAACAAACAGACTTAAAATAGGTAAAAATGTCAAAAATTGGGATACAGCAGCCAACATTGTGTTATAATTTTAATCACTATAAAAACAAACTACTAAATGTCAACAAAGAAAAACAAAATGACATATAGACACTATTTAGACAAAGCGCATACGCATAAACGAAAGACAAGTGTACAAAAAATTACCAAAGCACAATGACACAAAGGCATGGCGGGATGTATAAATCCTAGGGATGTCAAAAGATCTGAAATTTAATACTCGAGTATTCGGTCATGATACTCGCGAGTACTCGAGTACTCGGATAAATCTTTGACGTATTGTGAAAAGTATGATATTTGTTGGGATGTGGTATCTTTGTTATTACCTTTCATAAACCAAATTATAATATGATGACATCGCTTGACATCTTAACGAAAGTCATACGTATTAATGCAGAACTCAAACTGTATCATGTGTATGACTACAACATATAACTTGATCCTTGGTTATGTGTATCGCTCCTTCTTTTTTGTGTCAATTGAACAAAGAATAACTGACCACCGTTTCTAAAAGGACTATCATTATAGCATTTATTTTTTTGTGTGTTCATGTGACAAATCAGAAACATGCCAATAACAATCATTCAATATGTTAATAAAGTCCGACATTCTGTATCATCTGTTCCTGTGGAGTTAGTAATTTTGATATTACGACTTGTTCCATAATTTGTCAACGAAATATTGAACTTACTTGTACAAAACGGTATCTAATTATAAATTAAAGAATAATTAAGTTTAAAATAAACATTTATTACATTAAATGTACATCTCATACCAATCACGTGTACAAAGAACTCTTGATTAACAATTAAAGGTAAGTTTACGGATTGTGAGTTATTGATCCGTGAAAGTGTTTAGCCGTGTACAAACACCGTTACAAAAGTCTCTAATCAGTTGCGTTGGGTTCACTGCAGGGCACTTTAATTTTGTTCTTGTTCAGAAATATGATCTGATCCACAACTTCAGATGAAAGGGGAAATATCTCAAGATGTTTAAAAGGCAAACGAGTATTCGAGTACTAAAATTGTACTCGAGAACTCGGCCTTCCGAGCGAGTACTCGAGTACTCGTTGCCATACCTAATAAATACCGAGCCATGCCAAAAGGATATTACCAAGAAACGACTAAAACGTAAAGGTTGAAAATGTACAAAGCCAATAAAAAGAACACTATGAAACGTCAATACCTAGAATCTATACTTCAAGACCATCATGCATTATTTGTGAAGTTGATACGGAAGTTGATATAAACAAGGTCTTGGTATCTTCCGATGAACTTTTTAAGAAAAAGGACGAGACGTTCTTTGACATAACCCTGGTGCATCAACTTTTTGCTTAGACACTTGGACGTTTTACAAAGTCTGGGTAGCAGCTACAAGCTCTTGAATATCGAATGAGTTGTGAAATGTATATCTCATATGCAGGTGAAGTTGGTATATTGCTGCTAAGGTGGGGAAAATTCCAAAACTAAAAACGTCTCGTTTGTCAGAGATTCGGGTACTGAGATGACCGTTTTTGTCAAATTCGAGGTACATGTCTTAAAATTAGGCGGATGAAGCCGTGTCTGTTGTTTCTTTAATTTCTTGTTTTGGAGGATATATTAATGCAACCAAATCAGAAAAGTCTGGATTGTTAATGGAAAGAACATCATATATATATATATCTGAATGTGAAATTAAATGGTCTTGCTTCTTTTTTCTTCTTGTATAAAAATAAGAAGAGGTCGACAAGGAAAGGCGCACAGTTAGTTCCCATAGGAATGCCGATAATTTGTTGAAAAAGTCTACCTACAAATTCAACAAATATATTGTCAACTCTAGCATAGTGATCACTTGTTCCTCGTTTCGATGTATCCTATTTGTGGTAGCAAATTCATTGTCGGCACCCGGTTTCCTGGTTGGTTGTTTTCTTAAGGCTAATATATTTACATAAAAAGTTTAAACTTTCCAGATTTTCAACAGTCCTTCGACTGATACGACTTACACCATATTTTGCAATGTTAATTGTAAGAGTACGCCAAACACTTCGTCAGTGTAAATGTGGCAAAATGTCTCTGATTATGGCTTTACGAAAAATATATTCAATGGGAGAAAACTTGTATTCGTTAATTGATACTTTTGATTGATGCTGCGTACATTTAACATGTGTTTATATGTCTACAATTCATATATTTATACATAATGAATGATACTACATCTTTTGACAAAACTTCTGTTGCACTGTATACTACTGGCGGAAGTTGACGAATAAAACAGAAGCATTTATTTTGTCAATTGAAATTTAATTAATCCATGTTCACCATGCTTTACTTTACCATAAAATCGATTGAATATCGTGTCTGTATAGATTTGTCGAAATTCTTGTCATCATACGGGTACCACAAAACATAGTTTGTATTCCATATATTATTGTAGATGTTAAACCCAATGCCTTTGATGTCATTAACAGTAATAGGTTCAAGTGGTACAGGAAATGGTGATGGATGCTTCGTTTTCGTCCCTATGATAACTAACGGTGCATCTTTAGTTATTAACTGAAGACCATTTCCTGATTCGTCAATATAATATGCCCCATTATCAACAGCTGAAAGATAAATATGTAGAGAGGTTTCAATACCTATCTTACAAAAGCAAAATGTTTTACAATGTATTGTAAAATACATAAAAGTCTTATTTTGCACTACATTCTTAATTAATTCAAGAGATTTAAAACAATTATTTTTTTTCCTACCAAAAAAAATCGTAATTTTCGCACGAAATGTTTTGTATGTAGCTTGTTCACGTTTTGAGAAAAAAGATGTTATATAATATATTGTGATTTCTTTGTTTTGTGATTTCTTTGTTTTGTGATTTTTTTTGTATTGTTTCGAACACATGCGTTGTTCAAGGATATGCAATTTTAGAAGAAAATGCTCAACGAATTTGTTTTATTTCAAAGAAAGAGTCATTTTGATATTTATTTCTCTAGTGATGTTTGTTAAACGACGAGTTGGTTTACGAAAAATGTATATCACCAACCCCTACCCTCTCTTCCTCAACAACATAATCTTTATACTCATCTGTGCTGTTCAATGTTGCGTATTTGCGGTATTAATTCATTGTTCTGTAAACAGCTGTTGTAAAAATTTTATACAAAATAAAAAAATACTATACCGTGAACATATTGACTTCCATTCTGAATGACATTTGCAGGATCAACAATATGGCCGACTTTTGACAAATACCACTTTGGGTTGGATTTTGGTACTGTTGGATTGAAGTAGTAAGAAATTGATTCCGCTAGACGGCTTGGTGTCTTGTTTTTCAAAATAACTCTTGCTTCAAAGCCTAAATGATATAGTTTAAACTTGTTCATTGATACGAAAACTCGTACTTTTTTGAAAATAAGTTCTTTTTTGTAAGAGCATGGGTAGTTTTACCAGTATTTAGTTTCTATATGTTTGATTTAAGGATTTTATTTTCTATTTACTTGTTCGTTTCTATTAAAATTGATTACTTGGTTCCTGTCATTAACGATCAAAAGAGAATTGATTAATTCGTATTTGATCGAGAGTAAATAAAGCGTAAGTATTAACACCAATATAGAACGTTTATATACGCGAGTCTTTTAGGTTGAATGTAGTGCTAATCCAGGTTAATGTTGGACAAACTAATAGACGAATGAGGGACTGTGACATGTATTATGTTATTAAATATGACACATTTCAACCACAAACCGTCAAACGTTCTATATATATATAAACGCCTAAAAATTGTACAAAATGATAACACCAATATTCAAAAAAAGGAAACATTAAATGTAATTATCTATAAACATTTCGGATAACAGATATCTTTCATCAGTATGATTATGATGTAAAATGAATCATATCAATCTATTCTGATTTAACTATAACAATCTTAAAAATTATACAATTAAAACCGAACACAGCAACGCTTGTACAATTCTAAAATTTCAAAAATGACGTTAGGAATTTACAACAGAGACTGCATAGATATGCTACTAACAATAATAGTAATGTGCGATATGAACAGGTATATTTCTAAAATTTCAGCAGTTTGATAAAAAAAAATTTTAAAAAATTTTGAAACAGGTTAGGTAATTGAACGTGGCTGCGAACTTAAACGTCCCAAATAAATAGCACCCTTCGATTTAAACTGGTATAATTCTAGAATTTTAGAATTGACAAATGTAAAGGAATAGCAACAGTGACTGCGTAGTAATATGATTATAACCCAAGTGAAAAGCAATGCGCGAATTAGAACTACACCTTTTCATTGATCCCATTTGGTGCCAAATTTTCTTGTCCAAAATCTTTCCCGAGCGAGTCTATCCTCCCTAGACCAAGCAGTGTTGTTGTCTATGATTGTAATGGTCAGTCGGTTGAGACCTGCTTTTTTATGGCCAGGGGATCTCAAATGTCGACTGAGAGGAAGGTCTTGCTTGCATTCATAGTCGCTACGATGGCCGTTCATACGTTTATGAAATGGCTGTTCTGATTCGCCAACATACTGTTTACCACATTTACACTGTAGGAGATACATGTATCATTTGTAGTCTTGCAACTAACATTGCAAAAATATGGTGTAATCCGTACCAGTGGAGTGACTGTTAAAAGCCTGTGTATTCAGTATTTGCTTGCAAGTCAGACATCGTTTGTTTCCGCATCCCTTGCAAGAGCCCACAGACGAAGAGCCTGATTTAGAGGATAAATCAGCTCTCACCAGCAAGTCTTTAAGGCTTTTGGGCATACGGAAAGCCAGTACAGGGGGCTCGGGAAAGATCTTGGATAAAAAAAGTAAAAACTTTGGCACCAAATGGGATCAATGAAAAGGTGTAGTTCTAATTCGCGCATTGCTTTTCATTTGGATTATATTTCATATTACTACGCAGTCTCTGTTGCTATTCCTTTACCTTTGTGTCAATTCTAAAATTCCAGAATTATACCAGTTTAAATCGAAGGGTGCTATTCATTTGGGATGTTTAAGTACGCAGCCACGTTCAATTACCTGACCTGTTTCAATTTTTTATTTTAATCATTATCAAACTGCTGAATTTTAGAAATATACCTGTTCATATCGCACATTACTATTTTTGTTAGTTGCATATGTTGTAAATACCTGACCTACGTCATTTTTGAAATTTTAGAATTGTACAAGCGTTGTTGAGTTCGGTTTTAATTGTATAATTTTCATACCCTTCACCCTCCGCTTTTGAAATTAAATGGTCGTTCCCTATTATATCTTGACGTTTTTTTTTATATATATATGTTGTGTACAAGTTATCATTTTGTACGAATTATAATTTGTACAAAAAAAATTGTACAACTTGTCAAGTTATAATTTGTATTTTGACTTTGTACAAATTGTAATTTGTACAAAAAGGGCTTGTACAAATTAAAATTTGTACAAAATTTGAAAAAAAATCACTTATAACTTGTACAATAATTTATGATAAGGATGTTGTTATAAAATTTATATTCAATGACCGCACAATAAACCTTATTTCCAAATACAAAAATAGTGCTTTATCATTTGTTTGAGCATGTGAATTATGGCATCGGGAATTGCACAACATCTTTTGCTTTTTACATTTACATTTAGAAGTGCTGCAACCCCTTTGCATTTACATAAAAGAAACCCCTGATCACTAGTTTTTGAAAACTTGAAAATTTGTAACTGCTTTATTTAAAGGAGGTTGAAGTTCAGAAACCGTTACTGCGAATAAAAATGTGTCTTTAACAGCTTCAATTTGATTTCTCGACAAATATCATGTTAAAATTACTACAGCTGTTCCAGTGTTGTACCCAAATTCTCCAGATTCAATAATTAGACCTAAGATATTTCAAGGATCAGTTGGGGCACGATCATACTGAGGAATTGGTATAATGATATTATCCCCCACAGCAGATTCTGATAATTTCCGTTTTGTTTTCTTGGTTAGATATTCGGCTTGGATCTGTTGGTCAGACAGCGCACGCTTCCTGACATGTATGATTGATGTTTCAACGTAACTGTCATCCTGATTGTCACTTAGGCCAATTTCAGTTATACTACCAGAATTATCACCGGGCCAATTTTTATTATTCTACCATAATTGTCACTGGGGCCAATTTCTATTGTACTATCAGAATTAACTGGCATGCATGTATCAATTACATTTCTTGTCTCCATCTGGGTATTTTTGTATTTTGTAAATAAAGGTTTATTGTGTGGTCATTGAACAAAAATTCTATAGTGTGTATCAGTGCTTTTTTTTATAACAAGATCCATAATATAAATAATTGTACAAGTTATAAGTGAATTCTAGTACAGTTCTGCACTTTTTATACAAATTACAATTTGTACAAAGTAAAATACACATTATAATTTGTACAATTGTTTTGTACAAATTATAATTTGTACAAAATGATAACTTGTGCACAACATATATATATATATATGTATTTATTTGGCAATCGTCAATGGCAGTCAGCAGGGTTTAAAAACATCAGTTAGATCTGTTAGTCAAATGCGTTTTGTTAAAATATACTTTTCACTTTTTTGGTCTTTTGGAAAATGTTGTTTGTGCTGTATTTTGACCCCTCTACCAAGAAATTTGTTTTACATGCACACTTATAAAAATTGCGGTTTTTATCCAACGCAATCATAGGTTTGAACGTTGTTTTCAATTTAGACACGTTTATATTTTTTTCATTTGGGCTTGAATTATATTTGCCTTCGGGTTTGTATAATCCGTTCATCCTATTTCGACTCTTCAAAATTCAAGAGTCTATTCTAAATTGAGGTAAACTATATGGCCTTTCAAATACCATTTCGATTCCTAAAATCACCGAAGAGACATTAATTGTCGAAATCCGGATATGGTGTACCAATGTTTGCGGTATACCATCTTTTCCGCAAGTTTATTGTTTTCTGTTTGGTATTAAATTATTAAATAAGATCCATTTTGTTAAATCTGGTAATCCGTTTATTTGGCAATCGCCATGGCAGTCAGCAGGGTTTAAGAACATCCGTTGTTCGACCTGCTAGTCAAATGCATTTTGTTAAAATCTACTTTTTCACTTTTTTGGTCTTTAGGAAAATGTTATTTGTGGTGTATTTAGACCCCTCTAACAAGAAATTTGTTTTGCATGCACACGTATAAAAATTGCGGTTTTTATCCAACGCAATCATAGGTGTGAACGTTGTTTTCAGTTTAGACTGGTTCATATATATATATATATTGTGCTATGTTTAGACCCCTCTACCAAGAAATTTGTTTTGCATCCACACGTATTAAAAATTCTCTTAAGGATCTTAATTATAAATTTAATACTAAACAGAAAACAATAAACTTGCGGAAAAGATGGTATACCGCAAACAAAAGGTGCAAAGGTTTTTGTACACCATATCCGGATTTCGACATTTAATGTCTCTTCAGTGATGTTAGGAATCGAAACGGTATTTGGAAAGCCATACAATTTACCTCAATTTAGGATAGACTCTTGAATTTTGAGGAGTCAAAAAAGGATGAACGGATCATATAAACCCGAAGGCAAATATAATACAAGCCCAAACGAAAAAATAAAAAAACAAGTCTAAATTGAAAACAACGTTCAAACCTATGATTGCGTTGGATAAAAACCGCAATTTTTATACGTGTGCATGCAAAACAAATTTCTTGTTAGAGGGGTCCAAATACAGCACAAACAACATTTTCCAAAGACCAAAAAAGTGAAAAAGTATATTTTAACAAAACGCATTTCACTAACAGGTCGAACAACAAATGTTCTTAAACCCTGCTGACTGCCATTGGCGATTACCAAATAAACGGATCACCGATGTAATAAATGGATCTTAATTATAAATTAAATACTAAACAGAAAACAATAAACTTGCGGAAAAGATGGTATACCGCAAGCAAAAGGTGCAAAGTTTTTCGTACACCATATCCGGATTTCGACAATTAATGTCTCTTCAGTGATGTTAGGAATCGAAACGGTATTTGGAAAGCCATACAATTTACCTCAATTTAGGATAGACTCTTGAATTTTGAGGAGTCAAAATAGGATGAACGAATCATATAAACCCGAAGGCAAATATAATACAAGCCCAAAAGAAAAAATATAAACAAGTCTAAATTGAAAACAACGTTCAAACCTATGATTGCGTTGGATAAAAACCGCAATTTTTATACGTGTGCATGCAAAACAAATTTCTTGTTAGAGGGGTCTAAATACAGCTCAAACAACATTTTCCAAAAGACCAAAAAAGTGAAAAAGTATATTTTAACAAAACGCATTTCACTAACAGGTCGAACAACAAATGTTCTTAAACCCTGCTGA